ACCAGTTCGGGGCATCCCACAACCGCCGCCGCTCCGGGACACTGTCACTGAGCTGAAGCTGGTGCGGGCCCGGGACCCACCCCCGCCACAGGCAGAGTTGGAGCTGAAGCCCCCTTTGCTGGAATAAGTCTGCCGGGACATGGAGGACCTCATGGCTGTCGGAGGGGCCGGAGCGAAGGCTGAGCGAGCTGGAGGCAGAGCAATGAGCCACTGGGCCACTGATGGGCTTTTATCTTTTCCAGCCTGGGCTGGTTCCTGGGTTCCAGACACTCCTGCTCCATCGCCCCAGGAAGAGAGGGAGGGGCCCCGTGGGCTGTGGGGAGTCCCCTCTGCCCCAGCAGGAGGGAGGGACTGCTCCCTGTTGTCACCTGTGCTCCAGAGCTGAGGCTCGGCCGAGAAGGACCGGGGCAGGATGCCACCTTCTCCCCCGAGGCTCTCCTCACTTGGAACAGGATGATACGGGCTCCCACGGCCAGCCCCGCCGCCCAGCGGCTCCTCCCCCAGCCTTGGTGGCCACACTCAATGGGGCTCTGTTCTGTGGGGTTTGTCCCAGGCCCCTGTTGCAAGCCAAGGCCCCAGGGCCCAGGGCTGTGCAGGTGGTAAGGGAGGGAGTGTTGGGCAATGGGCTGCTGGCGAGGGCGCCCAGGCCTGCTCCAGTCCCACCCAGCCCACGGCCTCCTTTCCTCCTGGCATGTCCCGAGGGGGACGGGGCAGGGGAGGGCCCAGGAGACTGATGGCGGTGGGGGCATCTGCTCTTTCGTCACACACTAGCAGACTATCCGCTGGGCAGAGCCCCTGCACTGCTCAGAGCACACTTCCAGGGGCTGCGGAGAAACGGGAGGGGGGGCGGTCTTCAACTACCGCCTGAGACCTCAGCCCTCTGTCCCACAGCAGATCCCCCCGGAAGGGCTCTGTCACGTGGAGGGGAGCTGGAGATGGGTAGAGGGTGCATCCCATTCTGGCTGGACAGGGGTACAGCCCCGAGAAGTATGTGTTCAACAAAAGCCTCTGGAGGCCCATAGAGCACCCAACGGTCTGTCTTCCCATCCCTGATCCTTGATGCAGAAGGCTCAGAGCATGCGCCATAGCTGCCTCCACACCTCAGGCTGCCAGCACCACACGTCGCACCAAGGGAAGACCCAGAGACATCAATGGGACCAAGAGGTGTTGAGGAGGTGACTAGAGGTGTCCCTCTCACCTAATCCAGCTCTCATCAAGAAGGCCCCAAAGAGGACAGAGACTTGGCAGAGGGACGGGGTAGAGATAGCGCTTGCTGAGACCCTCACACAACTGCCAAGGCCAGGGCTGAATGCCCCTGGCTTATGTCCCAGGAGCCCTAAAGGAGAGGACGGAGCTCAGACAGAGAAGCCAGCCTCCCTCCAGCCCCCACAGCCCTGGGAATGTGGGAGAGCCGGTGCCAAGCCCTGGGGAGGCCAGGGGTCCTGGCCTGGGGCTCCGAGGGGGCCTGTAAGTTGCCTAATGAGGCTGAATCCAACTCCCACAAGGGGTGGGGGTGAGGGGCATATGCAGAACTAGTCCCTTAATGCCAGAGAGTTTCCTCCCTGCTTGGAACTAGGATCCCAGGCATTTGGAGGAGCAGCGCTGGGGGATGAATTCCCTCTGAGCTGTTGTCCTCAGGCAACCCGCAGGGCCCTGGGCCTCCTCGCCTCTGCATCTAAGCAGAACCCAGAAAGGAAACCCTTTTGAAAGCCCGGCCTGCAATCCCGGGATTGAGCTGTCACTTCCCACTGACCTTTGTCTCCTGTCCCTGGGCTGCGATCACTTTCTCAGCCTCCCTTATCTCTCCCCACGGAGAGTGTAGGCGGGAAAGACAGTCCTGAGTGGGGGCCCTGGGGAAGGGAGTGATGTCAGCGTCTGAGTCAGGTGTGGCCCCACCAGGGTGGTGGGAGTAGCGCCAACTGCAAACACATTCCACCCCTCCCTGAGACTGACATCCACTTGAGTTTACTTGGTGCTCTGCGCCAGGCTTTGTGCTGGGAGCTGGTGACAGACACCCAGGCAGGCCGGAGCCCACTCTCACAAAGCTCAGTCACTGCTGGAGATGGTGTCCTCCCGCCCGCCGGACAGCCCAGAGCCCCAACCCAAGCCGTGGCCCGGGGCCGCTGTGCTCCTCCGCCAACATGCCGCTCAGCTCTGTGCAGACACCAACTCAGGCCTTCCTGCAGCCGAAGAGGAGCAGCTTCCTGCCCTACTGCTGCTCAGCTCAGGGGCCTCCAGATCGGAGTGTCACCTGTCCAGGGCCCCTCCACTGCAGCTGCACATGAAAGCAGGGCTGTGGGGGGGAATACTGCTGCGAGGGGAGCGAGGACATCAGCTGAGCCTCCCCCATGGGCTAGACTAGCTGCTGAGCAGCAGGGGAGATGGAGGATGGAGGGGAAAGCAAATGCAGGCTCCGCTGCCCCTGAGCAGGCCATGCAGGGGTGGGGCGCGCTAGGCGAGAGGTGGTCACGATTCCACATATTGCACGCTTGTTAGATGGAGGGCACTTTCCATGCAGTCACTTGTTGCTCTCCAAGCCGGGTATGCCCCATTTGCCACCTTCCAGCCCCAGATCCATTCTCCAACCTCCTTGGCCCATGTAAATGGCTCCCTTGCAACTCTCAGTCCCTGGACCTCTTCACCCTGCCTCTAAGCAGGACCCGCCACAGAAGCCCTTTTGAAAAGCTGCCCTGCAGTCCCAGGACTGAGCCTCCACTTCCCACGGGGTCGTGGGTCATGGACTGGCTGAGGGGAGACACCTGCAGGAGGTCGGGGAGGAAGGGGGATGTTTCTTTCCAGCGCCCACTCAGCTTCGGGCCTATCTCCAGGGGCCACGCATCCTCCATGATTCAGCTTCCCCACGGGATGCCCTTCAGGTCCCACAGTTCTATCATTAGTCACCCCCACTGCTTCCTCTTGTCTCTTTGACCTTATACAGAGTGATCAGCTCATCCTGATTTTCCCAGGACCCTCCAGGGTTAGCCCCTGAAGTCCCACATCCCAGAAAACCCCGTGGTCCTGGACAAACCGGCTGTTGGGCCCCGGTCACTGGCCTCTCCATCCTGCATCAGTTCCTTTGGCCACACCCCCATGAGCTATCTTTTCATTAAAGTCCATTTAATTGACCATCGTGGGTAATGTGTTTCTTTCTGGAATCCTAAGCGGTGGATCCTCACCAACCTGGCAGGTAGGCGTTATTAACATCTTCCCACAGGTGAGAAAACTGAACACAGAGAGTTAAGTAACTTGGTCAAAGTCTTGCCACCAGTAAATGACAGGCCTGGGGTTCAAGCCCTGAATTCTGGCTCCAGAGCCATGTGCTCACCCCCTATGTCTCCCTCAGAGAGGGCTGAAATGGCTCCTTCTTGGGTACTTTTGTTGAGGAGACTTGTGGGCCTGAGAAAGAGCTGGCCTCCCCTGAGACAGAGCGCGAATGCGCGGCATCCTGTCCTCCAGGCGATGGAGTTTGGCGTGAAGCCAGGCGGAATGGGAGCGGTGCAGGAAGCCATAGATGATTTGTGGGGCGGTGGAAAGGCGACCCTCTCGCCCTCCCAGCACCTGGCCCTGACTCCCACACTCCCGGCATCCTGCAGTTTCCAGCCTCATGTTCTGATGGACCCAGGGGTGGGATGGGAGCTGGAGGGGAGGAGAACAAGGCACAGCTCCAGTCCCAAGTCCCCAGCAGGGCCCCAGCACAAACTGGGCTGCCAAGCCTCAGCCCGGGGGCAGGAGAAGAACTGGCCAGGGCCCCGGTTGATAGAGAAGCTGGGTCCCAGAGCAGAACTAAGCCAGGAGAGCAACAGGGACAGCCAGCCTGGGCCAGAGACCAGAGAGGTCTGGCAGGTCCTGACATGGGGAATTAGGCTTCCAGGAGGAGAAAATCTGGAAAAAGGTGGAGCAGGGGAATGCCCTGGGTCAGGAATAGAGCCTGGAGTGGGCGATTAACCAGGAACAAGCCACAGGCACCCTAAGCATCAGCGGATATGACGATGGAGTGTCCCCGGAAGCACAGGGCAGCGTTGATCGGAATTAGGATGCTTTCACTGAAATGCTTAACAACCACAAATGCCTCCTGAGAGGGATGGGCAAAACGTGCAAGAGTGGGCCAGGGCTGCATGGATGGAAGGAGTGGCCGAGCCACTGCATGTGGCCACAGGGACCTTTGCCTCTGCCGTTCAACCTCTCCTCCCAGTGTCCTCAGACACATTTAGGCTGCTGCTCAATGCTGAATTATTACCCTGCCAGGACACCGCTGTTGAGAAAAAGGGCCAGACTAACGCCCAGAGGTCAGAGGTGACAGTGGACGGTAAGACTGGATCCAGATAGAACTAGGGCCAGGGCATCACCGGGAGGGGCCTCGAAGAGGGGACAGGACATAAAATGACCTCCCCTCCCTGGGAAATCCGCATTTCCCAGGCCAGCTGGCCTCTGGTCCTGGGGCCTAGGTGTCTGGAGGAGGAAGAGCAGCCTCTCGTGGGTAGGAGGGCTGTGCTGAGACACCAGAAGCAGAACAGGTGGAAGGGACACTGACCCCACTAGGAGTGCAGGGTAGGTTTGCTACTGCTTGCCAGAGTAGCCCCAGCCCTGGCACAAGGCCCCCAGCACGCAACACAATTTATGGGAAGGGAAGGTGTGGGGAAAGGAAGGAGACCCACCCCCACCCCAGAGAGAACTGGGTGCTGCTTGTTTCACAGGAAGCCAGAGACATAGAAACCCAGAGGTGAGCAAGGAAGACAAGGGCCGAGGCCCATTGTCCAGACTCCAGACTCGGCCAGGCCCCTCCCCACAAAGAACAGCACTTGGGATGGTGATGCTGCCTGGCCACGTCCAAGCAAGAGTCTTCCCAGCTCAGCCTGAAAGCTGTGGAGGCAGGAGAGGATGCAGCTGGCTGGTTGAGGACAGGGCACTGGGCCCTGGCTGGAGCCGGGCAGCAGACAAATGAGACACAAACTCCAGAGCAAGTCCAGCCCGGGCGAGCCTTCAGGACAGCAGGCCGGGGAGACTTTATTGACTTTTGCAGAGTCCCCTGCAGCCTGGCTCAGGCTGTGGGCAGTGGACACAGAGCTGGCCATTCAGGGATGGGAGTGGGAGCAAGGCCCAGGGGGTCCAGAAAATGGCAGTGGGGGGTAGGGAGGAGCAAGCAAGCGGCTGCTGGGTCACTCAGTACGTGACGGACGTCTTCAGACTCGACTCCACCGTCTTCTTCAGGATGGTGCGGCAGCTGGACCGCGAGCTGGACCCTGAGCCCGAGCCCGACACAGAGCAGGAGCCCGACACAGGACACTGCCCAGAGCCCAGCTCGGGACGCTGCCCAGAGCCCAGCCCGGGACGCTGCCCAGGGCCCAGGATGATGTTGGAACCTCCGGTCACGATGCTGGAGCAGTTGGATTCGAAGCTGCATCCGAAGTCGCCTCTCCCACCTCCAGGCCCACAGGGGCACACCACGCCACCAGCCGCTCCTCCAGACACAGCCGCGCAGTTGGATTCGAAGCTGCACCCGAAGTCGCCTCTCCCACTTCCAGGCCCACAGGGGCACACCAGGCCACCAGCCGCTCCTCCAGACACAGCCGTGCTGCCTCCTCCAACAGCTGCCAAGGGATACACGGTCACAGCAGGGTCCTTTGGTCTCTGCAGGGACCCCTCACCCCAAGTCCCCTCATACTCACAGATAGTGATCTGGCTGGTGCATTCCCCGGACATCCTGGGGGAGAAAAGAAAAGAGGAGGAAGCTCTAAGGAGCTTGCAAAGAATGCACCCCCAGGCGCTTTTAAGCCTCTCAGAACAGCTCGCCTCCCCTCTCAGCACAGAAAGTCCACAACCCCCTTTTTAAAGTCCTTCCCAGCAGAATGGGCGGCCCTCAGAGGCTCAGAGTGTCAGGAAGTTCTCAGAATCCCCGTCAGCGAGGAAAGGCTGCCCTGGCACCCCACTCCCTCACCCCGTGGGGCACATCTGCCGCGCCCACCTGCACTCCTCGCCCTCCAGCAGCCTGCGGTAGGTGGCGATCTCCACATCTAGGGCCAGCTTCGTGCTCAGGAGCTCCTGGTAATCCCGCAGCAGCCGGGCCAAGTCCTGCTTGGCGGCTCTCAGAGCAGCCTCCAGCTCGTCCATCTTGGCCTGAGCATCCTTGAGGGCCAGCTCCCCATGCTGTTCAGCGTCAGCGATAGCAGCCTGCAGGCCCGCATTCTGGGAGAGGTGTAGAAACAAGGGAGAAAGCAGCTGTGACCCAGCACAGTCCCCCAAGCACCTACTGTGGACATACCTTAAAGGCTGGATGAACCATAACTCGTGAGCCCAAGCTGAGGCGTGGACTCCCCACAGCTCCCTAAGGGAAAGCGCTGCCCCTTCTGCTCTCTTAACTCCCAAAGTGGGTTGGTTAGTGTCCCCAAAAGGTCATGCCACCTAGGGCCTTTGCAGATGTAATAAACTGGGGGACTCAAGGTGTGATCAAGTCTTTGGGGTAAGCTCTCGGTCTAACAATTGGCGTCCCTCTGCGAGAGGACACAGAGACTCAGTCGGAAGACGCCCTGCAAAGATGGAGGCGGAACGAGGGGCGACCCAACAGCAAGACAAGGACCTGGAGCCGCCTGAATGGCCCAGGGGAAGTGCAGACCCGCCGACCCCCGACCGCAGCCTCCTGTCCTCCAGAAACGGGAGACACATTTCTGCTGCCCAGTTCGTCTGATGTGCTACAGCAGCCCGAGGAAACTAATGCAGCCCTGGGCCTCCTCCTTGAGTAATGGCCCCTGTTTCTCCCCTCCCCGGCCCAGCGCCAACCCGTGGTGCCCCTCGCCCCCACAGCACTTCCAGCTCTTCTGGTCCTATTTGGCCCCTTTCTACCAATCTCCAAGGGCCACCACGGTCCTTGATTTGGGTTAGAACAATCCCATTTGAATACTCTGTCTTCTTGGCAGAGTGTATGCGCCTCAATGTTGGGTGAGACATACGTGCTCAGATCGCATCTCTCAATCCTAGAAAGTTCCCGGAGGAAGGACAAGGCCCCTGGCTAAAGGGCCATCTAGTTGACTTGCTTTGGGTCAGGAAAGCAGGTGCTTCCTACAGGCTCTCGCTGCTCTGGCCCACGCCGGCGCCCTATGGTAGGGGGATGGTCTCCCTGCTGCAGGGAGCGGCTGAGGCCCAGGAAGGTGGTGAGCGGCTGTCAAGCCTAATGCAGCACAGCGCTCCCCCCCCCCCCCCCCCCCCCGTCCACAGCTCTTAGTGTGATCTGCAGGCAATGCCCTGGGCCTGGCACAGGGGAACCCAGTTCACGATGCTTGTGCATGGGGAGAAGTAAGTGGCGGCCACATCCCCGGGAGGGATTCTCACAGGACAGTCACTGGCTGTGCAGGAAGGTCGCATTCCCTGGACTTGGGAGCCACAGCATCGTACTCCTGAGGGCAAGTTTCTGAGTCCCAGCCTTAGTCTGATTCCCTGGACCTGGTTGGAGGCCCAGGAATTTGCAGACATCCCAGAGAACTGCAAAGCAGCGAGTCCAGGTAGATGAGCAGAACAGAGGGCAGCACATAAAACAGGACCTGCACGAACTGTCCCAGAGGAGCGGGTAAGGATGCCTGGAGACTGAGTCTGGGCTTTCAGCACCCCCTGCACACTCAGAGCTTCGGGGGAGGGTCCTGCTCGGCAGTGCACAGGCGCATGTGCTGGAGAATCAAGCTGAAGAACGTGGGGAACAGGCTGACTCTGGGAGCAGCTCTCCACCCTCTTTTGGTCCCCAAATCCATTCTCTGGCCTTCTTGAGAACTTAAGGATGGGTCATCTTTCCCATCTAAAGTCCAGCTTACAGGAGGGACAGGAAGTCACTCCCTCCCCTTGCCAGCCTCTCCACTCCTTCCCAGGCCAGGCACCAACCGCATCACCACCAAACTATACACAGCGTCTGCCTAAGGAGGGCTCAGTTCCCCACTCTGCTGCCCAAGTGTCCTGCGACTCTGCCCCCGACAGGGGACCGGAAAATTCAGTGCACAGCCTTAAAGGCCCTTCTGAGCCTAAGGAATGAGTCAAAGGAAAAAAGAAAGAGCTGAATGTCCCCTCCCCACAAGGACTTGACTGAGATGTGGCTGACAACGTGAGCAGCGCCCCCCCCCCAGAGTTGTGCAGAGTCCACGCAGGCAGGAATTCATGGCAGGAAATCTGAGTTCCTCCTACATGAGGCTTGAGGTTCTCTCCAGCCCCAATTGGCCACGCTTCCAGCCAGGGATCAAGGCTTCCACACAAGCCCAGCAATGACCCTCACACAAGTCATTGAGGAGAGCCTGAGGCGCCCCAGGACACTTACCTGCTGCTTCAGATTCTCAATCTGACTCTGCAGCCTCTGAATGGCCTGTTGCAGCTGGGTGATCTGGACTCTGGTCATCTCCATGCTGTCCCCATGGAGCTGGACAGATGCCTGAAGCTCCTGGTACTGAGGGGGGAGAGACATGACACCGTTGGTGGAGAGGACCCTCACCTTTGACCTCAAGACTGTGAGGCAACCCCATGCCCCTGGGTCTTTGCCTCCTTGTTTTGAATTTGGGCCAAAGGCTGAGGCCAGGACGTGGTGGGATACCAGCTGGTCTCCCTGCACCGCCTCCCTCCTGAGCCGGGGAGTGGCCGTGCAGCCTGGAGCTTTAGGAGGTGACCAGAACCACCCCTGGGGGGTGAGCACGCAGACCCCCGCCTAGGCACCTGGGTCTGGTACATGGCCTCCGCTTCCGCCTGGCTGGTCCGGGCGATCTCCTCATACCGGGCACGGACCTCGGCGATGATGTCGCTGAAGTCCGGGCAGCGGTTGTTGTCCATCGACAGCACCACGGACATGTCGCTGGCCTGGGTCTGGAGCATGCCCAGCTCCTGTGGGAAGAGTGCTGAGTGCCTGCCCACCAGAAACCCGGGGCAGGTGGGCAGCCCATGCGGGCAGCCCCCTACACAAGGGGTGACTGTGTCCTCATCTGGACCTGAGACTTGCAGGAGACCGTCTGTAATGATTCTTGCGGCTTGGACATTAAAGGAAAATGTCCTACAGGGCCAGAAATCATGGTCCCCATCTCTCCCCTGACCCCGCTCCAGCCAAGGTGACTTCTGTGTATTTCCTCAAAGACACCAGCGTGCTCCTGGCGGTGGCTGCTCCCTCTGCGTGGGATCCCCAGTTCTCACCTGCCCGGCCATCTCCTCCCCTCCTCCAAATATTTACTCCAAGGTTATCTTCTAAATAAGGCCACTCCAGCCATCTTACCAGAAACTGCCACCCACCTACCCCCAAATCCCCAATCCTCCTTCGAGTTCTAATTTTCCTTTTCCCATAGCATCTGTCACCCTCAAACATACTAGATAATTCACCCAATATTATCAATTATCTGTCTCCCCATAGATAGCAAGTTCTGTGATTTTTGTCTGATGAGTCACTGTGTATCCCCAGTGTCCAGCAATGCACCTTGTAAATTCTCAAAACTGTTAAGTGACTGAATAACCAGGATCTAAATCACCCTGGCCAGGCTTCATCTCCCACCCACTCCCCTGCAGCCCCAGGGAGTCTTCCCATCCTGCACCTTGCCCTCATTGCCCCCCACACTTGCGGCCCACCACTGCCACCGTTGCCAGAGCCTCACTTCTTCATACAGACGCCTCAGGAAGCATATGTACTCTCTCAGAGACTTCAGCTTCTCTTCCAATTCCATCTTGCTCAGGAAAGCTCCATCCACATCCTGAAATCAAGGAGACAGAAACCGTGTACCCCACTCTTTGTAGGTCCCATTCTTGCTCAGGAGTTCTGTTCACACGCTGTCTAACACCCACCCACTATCACTGGAAACCCACTCCTTCCATCTCCAGTCCCACCGTGCCCTGCTCTCTCTTTTGCCTGATACTGAACCACACCACCTTCAGGAAGCCCTCCCTGATTAATCCCAACCAGTTTTGCTTCTTCCTCTCCATGTCCCCCCTCTCTCCTGAATTAACACCCAAAGCTGATCATATGGCCCCTCAGTCAGATCTTGTCTCAAGGTTCCTGTGTCTAGATGGCTGTCCCATTTCCTTGGGGGACCCTCTAGGCATTGCGATAGGTATCTCTCATTCATACCTCCTACCCCCTGACTCCCCAGCCTAGGACTGGGCTCTGTGCCTCATGGGTGCTCAGGGTCTGGGTGGAACAGCTGACCCCCACCCTCACCTTTTTGAAGATCACAAAGTCATTCTCCACCGTGGCACGCTTGTGGGCCTCCTGCTCATACCTGTCAAATAAGGAGAGAAGGCTATCACCTGAGGTTCAAGGCCAGAGCCCATGTCCTCCTGTGAGCATGGCCTCCTGGAAAGACCTCTTTTACATTCAGATGCTCCAAAGCAGGACACGCAACCACGCAACCAGCCTCTGTCTCCATCTTTCCCATCAGGAAGTCCTTGTCACGTCCTAGCTATGTCCTGTGGCCCTGGGCCACTCTTTCAGCTCATGTCCCCTTAATGACACGCAGCCACTTTGCTTCAGGTTCACGTAGCTTTTCTCACTTACTGTTTGCAACCATTGTCTGAAGCAGGCAGTTCAGATTTGATCAGAGAGATTACATGACTTACCCAGTCAGAGATGACTAGGTGACCTAAGCAGAACTGAAACCCAGCTCTCCTGACTCCAGGCCTGGGCTCCCCCCAGGGCCCCCTCCACCTCATGTCCCATCCTCCAATGTCTCTGGGAGGTAAGAAGGGCAGGTGACATTTTCCCACTTTACAGATAATAGAAACTGAGGCTGGGAGAGGTGAATGCCTCGCCCGAGGCCACACCACTTCTCCTTGCACACCGGCACGGAACTCAAGCCTCCTGTTAGTCCAGGGCGCTCTCCACACACCCAAGTGACCTAGGTGAGGAAACCAGAACACAGCCCAGCTGTGACTCATGCCACTGACCTGGGGATGGTGCCACTAAGTGGATTCTCTTCCACCCTGAGACCAGAGGACATCTGAGTCACTTTAGCCCACAGCCTGCTCAACAAGAATTTCTCACCAAAAAGTCCACTGAGGCATTGTTTACATAGGCCTTTCCCAGCCTTGGCCAGAGACAGGGCCCTCCTGGCTGGGGCTTCTGAAACCAAGTCTCTCCAGACCTGGGCATCAGGAACTTCGGGGCCTCCTTACTTGCAGCGGGTGTGGCAAATGCAGTCAGAGTGGGTGGAGATGGGAGGGGATCAGGGGGGCAGGTCACGTGTCTCTGGGGGCTCTGCCTGTGAGAGGCCCTCCTGCTGACAGCCCTCCCAGCTCTCCACCCCAGGCCCCATGAGGAAACTTGGGGTTGCCTACTTAGCCTTATATTCCTCTTCCTGGTCATAGCAGCACTTCAGCTCGGCATCTAGATCTCCTCGTTCTCTCTGAAGCTGCTCCAGCCACTTCCGGAGATGGGCCAGGTAGCCCTCAAAGAAAGAGTCCAGGCTTTGGGGGCTGTGACTAACCCCCTGCTGCTGCAGGAGGCTCCACTTGGTCTCCAGGACCTTGTTTTGCTGCTCCAGGAACCGCACCTGCAGCACAAATGGAGCATTCCTGAAGCTCCTGTAGGACCCCTGGGCACAGCCTCTGGAAGGCAAAACCTCAGGGGCCCTCAGCGGCCCAGCCTGGGCAGGGGCAGCCCATGCCTTTCTGGGAGACTCAGCACCCCAAACGATTTCTAGTGGGGGCCTAGTGGGGGCAGGTCTGCCTTCTCTGCTCCTGAGCTCACCCATGGAGCACCAGGGTCTCAGTACAACCAGAGAGATTCCCTTAGTCCACAGGGCAGATTTCCTGGCTGCAAAAGTGATGAGAAAAGTAGATGGGAGACCAGACCCGCCCCCCATCCCTCATCCAGAGGGAGCCAGAGCCAGAGGCTTGGTTGAGTTGCCCTCACCTTGTCAATGAAGGAAGCGAACTGGTTGTTGAGGATTCTGATCTCTTGGGTCTCCTGAGTCCGTACCACCTGGAACTGGGGGTCAATCTCAATCTTCAGTGGGGTCAGCAGGTTCTGGTTGACGTTCACTTCCTGGATGCCCCCCGGAGGGCACAGGAAAGGCCTGGGCCCACCACTGCCTTCCCCAAACTGCACCCCGAATCTTCCCCCCATCCCCCAAGTCCTCCCACGAGACCGTCCTCGGCACCCCCTGAAGGGACTGAGACTTCTGCTGCTGAAGCCTCCCCTACTGCGGCCCCCTGAGCCAGCAGAACAGGCTGAGCGGGCGCTGAAGCCCCTCTGGGCCCGGCACGGGGAGAGAGACATGGCAGAGCCCCACGGACGGCCACACGGCTCAGACAGACAGAGCACGTTCAGTGTGGTGAGTTCCTGCCCTGAGGCCCTGGGCACGAGACTTTTATCCCCTCCCGTGCCTGGGCTGGGCCTCGGAGAGCAAGATGCTCTCAGCCTGACTGTCTGTCACTGGCTCCAGCTGACCTCTTCTGACACACCTGAAGGCTAGCAGGCCAGCACGTGCGGGAGAAGGAAGCCCTGGCCCTGCCCTCAGAGCTCCCAGGCTGGTGAGGGAGATGGCAGGCCCCAAAGACAAGGAAGCAGTCACAGCCTGGGCTTCAGTGGGGGTGGGGAGGGGTGACTGTGAGCAGAGTCACCAAGGCCGGAGGAAGGCTTCCTGGGGCGGGAGGTAGGGAGAAGGGAGCGAGGCTGAAGGGGAGAGAAGATGGGGAGGGGGTTCAGGTAGAGCACGGAGCGCCCCGGAGAGGCCGGACAGCGAGAATGAAGCTTCGTGGGGGGAATGCGCCCATAAAGACAGAGAAGGAAGCAGCACGAGGAGCAGCCAGGAGGTTAACAGAGGTGTGTTGTCATCACCGACTCAAAGACACTCCAGGATTTGGAAATGAAACAGCAAAACAGGGTGTCCAAGTCCCTCCTCTTGCCCAACCCAGCAATCATGCATCAGGCGCCTCCCCGCTCGGGACAGACACGTCCAGGGTGGCTCCTCATGGGGCCTTCCTGGCCCAGCCTCCATGCCCTTCGCAAGACAGCGTCAGACCGTCCGCCTGGGGTCCAGCACTGCAGTGCCTGGTTACAGTCGGAGGCTGCGAATGTGCGCTCAGGGACACACGCGCTTGCGGGACGGGAACAGCGACAGGAATTTAAGGCTGCCCCACAGTCTGTCTCTGCCCCGAAAGTCGGCCAAGTTGAGGGACCCCAGGGTTCATCTGGTACCAAGTGATTACCCCCCACAGGCAACACCCCTGGCAGGAAGCCCTCAGGGGCCTCCACTGAAGTCCCCCCGCCCCCGACTGCTGGTGAGCAGAGTTGGGCAACTCGGATTGTGAGAAACGTCAGAAATGTCTTCCGTTCATGGCGAAGGATTGTTTCTCCTTGCTCCCCTACACGCACGTTCTGCACGCACCCTGAAGCTAGGATCCTGGGGCCTTGGATAATCCAGCTTAAAGCAAGAACAAACAGAGACTGCCTGTGGGGCAGCCTCAAATTCCTGTCCTGAACACCCGAGAGATAGGCTATGAGGAAGTCAGTGCCAGCTGCAGGAACCGTCCCATAGAAGCTGCACCTCCAGCCCAGACCAGATGAGGAAGTCTCCCCTCCCTCCAGAGGATTAGAAGCCCCTTCCTCCTTCCCCTCACCCCATCAGGGGCACCCCTAAATAAAACTGAGCCATGGATGACCTCAAGGGCAAGAAGAGGTCAGGCAGCAGGTGGAGAGAACAAAGGAAATGAAGGGGCTGAAAGGCAGGTGAGGGAGAAGAGAGGAGAGGGGAGGGGCGGAGAGGGGAGGGGGAGAGGAGGGGTGGGGGGAGGAGAGGAAAGTTCCAACTGGGAGATTCAGGGAGGCCCATGGAGCAGCCCCAGAGTCTAGGTGAGAATCCGGGAAGCAGGCTGAATTTCATCGAGGACTCACTGCCAAGCCCTACGCCCAGCACCATCTTGCAGAGGCCAAGAAGGCCGGGTCTCTTCCTCTGGGCTCCACAAATGTACTTGAGAAAGATCCCCGAGGACTGGACTCTACCACCCCGCCCCCAGGTATTAAGGTGGAGGACAGGGGTCGCCCTTGGGATGGAACCAAATCCACCTCCCTGGACCTTCCCCACATGTGTCACATTACAGAAAAGCAGAGCCAGAGCAAGCTTCAAGGTCAACTGGTCCCGCGCCCTCATTTTACACTGCAGGTCTCCGAGGTCCTGTAGGCTGCAGGGTGGGGTGCAGAGACTACACCTTTGGGTAACCCACGAGATTGCACCAGATGACCTCTCAGCCTGCTTTGATCCATCACTCTGTGGTCTGAGTGACTTGCTCAAGGCAACCCACACAGTAATCAGGCTGGAGCCAGGACCCCCGCCAGCTCAGAGCACTCTCCAGAGGAGCAGTGCTGAGTCTTAACACCACAATGACTGTCTTGTCCACCACCCCGCCCAGCTCAGGGTCTGGTAAACACCAGGCGTCAAGTCCTTGCTTGAAGAGATGATTTCTTTTTTTTTTTTTTAATTTTAATTTTTTTATTTTTATATTCCCCAAACAATTGCAACCCCTTTATTTTGATCCCAATCCCTCCCCCACCCGCCCCCCTCTCCTCATAAAGTGTCTCTGGTTCATAGTTGTTTGTTGATTATGATTTTCACTTTCTGAAGAGATGATTTCTTATCCGTAACAGTTGCACCCAGGGACCTTCTCAAATCCCCAGGTTCTCCAACACTGCTGTAACATATGTTTTTTCCTCTTTATTAAAAAAATCATGCAGTAATGGAGAAAATGATAAACAATTTAGAACTTTGAAAGCTAGATCCTCACTGAGTAATGTGTTCCTGCACACAAAAGTACACAAAGAACCTCAATTCATGCTGCAGCAAAAGTACAAATGGCTCAGAGGACAGACTTCATGCTAGGCCAGCAAAGCCCAGGCTCTAAGGGACACAGCTCTCCTCAGTCTCCTCTGCTGCAGGTTAAGCAGCTTCAGGCTCAGCACACTCTGCAGCCCCTGCCCACCTGGTCCCACCTGCAAGAAAGCCCAGGCCAGGTAATTCTGTGACTCCCAGAAGCCTCTTCTCTCACCACCCCCTCCGTAAGTTCAGCCCTGGTCACAGCTATAACTACATAGCCTCTTTCTCTCAAGCCCATTCTGCATGTGCAAGTGATTTTTTGACCCAAATGCCACTTATTCATATTTACTCAACAAAATAAAATTAAGCACCTACTATGTGCTGGACCCTGTGCTGAGAGTTAGGAAGTTAGCAAAGATCAAGTCCCAGCACCTGCCCCAAGAAAGCTTAGAGTCTAGTGGAGAAGCAGACATCGAACAGGTAATTAGACAAGTATTTAATTGCAATAACGATAAGGAGAGAAAAATATAGGGCATGAAAGAGGCCTAACCTAATTTATCCCTCATTTATTCTTGAATATGCCAGGAACACTTCTGCCTCAGGGCCTTTGCACCTGCCATTCCCTCTTCCTGGAATGCTCCTCCCAGATACCCACGTAGCTAAAAGCAACCTTCCCCAGTTGCCCAGAACCAAAATTGCAGCACTGAGGCCGTCCCTCCTGTGACACTTCATCGCCCCTCCCTGATTTATTTCTTTCTGCTTAACCCCTATCACTTCCTAACATACCATTACCTACTTGTTTTGCTTGTCATTCTCCCTGTGGAGAGAGGCGTTTGAGCTCCATGGAGTTTGAGCTCCATGAGGACAAGGATTTTGTCTCTGCTCACTTCTATATCCTCTGCACATAAAACATCATACACTCAGTGTTCCATAAGTAATAATGGAATGAATGAATCCCCCTCCAGTTTTGTTGATCTTGTTGATTTCCTTCCCTTTTTCAACCCCTGGAGATCCTGGTGACATTCAAGTGTGTTCTCCAGAGCATTAGTCACTTCCCATCCACCCTCCCTCCCAAGGTTGGGACAAGCGTACAGTTGAGGAACATGATTGTGTGTGTGTTTCTGTGTATGTACTTGTGTGTATGTGTGTGTGTGTGTGTGTGTGTGAGAGAGAGAGAGAGAGAGAGAGAGATTGAGCGCCTACTATGGGCTGAGTATTGAATTAAATGACAGAGAAGACACAGATGGGTACGGCCCCATGCCTGCCCCGACAGATCATACAGTCCATGGAGGATGCGCGTGCAAACACAGAGCAGAGGGATGACCAGGAGGGACCACCCCACCTGGCAAGCTGGTGTGTAATAGCGGAAGGTTCCTCTTTTCACCTTGACTTAGTGGCCTGGTCTTGGAAGAAAGCCAGGACAGAGCCCTGTGGCGGACCACTGGAAACCCTCCCCCTGCATTTTCACAGCCTCCAGAGCACATCCTCTGGGTACCAGACTCAGCTGCTTGGGAATTACCCCATATTTTACACCTTTCTTCAAGAACATCAGAAATATATCAAATGTCTAACTGAACCCCAGATGGCCTCTGTCTGATCTACAAAACTTCCAAGAGAATAGAGCCAGGAAGCTACTTTATCCAACAATAAAGCAACGGCCTCCCAGGCCTTATCCTAAGAACTGCACATATATTAAGCCTCAACCCTAACAAGTATGAAGTAGGTACTAATTATCATTGCCATTTTACAGAAGGGGAAACTGAGGCACAAAGAGAACAAAGATTTTGACCATGGTCACACAGGTAGCAAGCAACAGAGTCAGAATTTGAACACGGCTAGGGTTCCAGAGAGTTTTGCCTCCACCACCACACCGTGCTTCTGTCGGGGATCTCAGAATGCCAGCATGAAATGACAACTCAGCCACCCAAAGCCCAGAGAGGTGGAATGACTTGCCCAAGGTCACACAGCAGACCCAAAAGTGAAACTCATTCCCCATTATCCATCCATTATCAACATTCATTAAGCGCCGCCAGGTGCTGGAAACCAAGCTAGCCCAGGTCAACAGAGGTCCCTGCCGTAGGGGAACTTGCAGTCAGGTGGCAGTGGGGACGAGGGGAGAAGAGGCAGGGAAACTATGTGGAAACCCGCAATACAATACCGTGTTGGCGGGGCTCCAGGAAACACTGTCAAGCATGGACAAGGTGTTGCCGGGGCTGGGGGTCTGCTTGAAGCAGCAGCAGCAGGTGGTCTTATCCATGGCATGTTTAAGAAAGATAAAAGTCATCCCCTGGGGTCTGAAGTCCCAGGAGCTCGAAGGGCGCAAGGTGGCAGCTGGAGAGGGGGGATGGGCTCAAGGTTGGGCTTCTGTAGGGTAAGTGAAAAAGCATCAGGTTTTTCTGCCCTCCCGCCATTAGGATGGATGATAGAGCCTTGCAGTCCTGAATGCATGCCTGATAGCGGCACCTGG